CTGGCCGAACTTCCTTCAAAACTCCATTGGAATTGGTCTTTTTTTCGTCTTTTGTTATTTTTTCTACGATCTACGTATACATCTACATTGATTATTTTCTTAAGAAGTTTACTTTAGTAAATACAACTGTTGATCAGTAATAATAAGACTTCTCTCGATCGAGTTTCATGAGATTTTATTGCTGAATACCGTCGTGACTTTGAGCTGTCCATATGGAGAATAAAGTCCTCCAGAGCTTGAAATCAAACTCTCTTCTTGAGTTCTAATTAATTTTTTCGATAACCGGCTCGATCTACGAGTCTCAGTCTGAAATCGAAATGTTGACGTTGTACCTAATAAGCGTTTTTGTTTACTTTTTTAAAACACATCAGAAAAAAAGGTCTAACTCATTGAAATTTTATTTCAGGCGTGAATTGTATAATTTTACTTCAACTTGCATCTTTCCTTGATTCTTTTAATATGAATAATTCGAAGATAAAACTATGTGSGAGTGTGCGCATGCACAGTGGGCCCCACGGCGTCTACAAGTGATAGAAATGTATCCCACATGGAACATGAGCATTTCGTTGCCTCATATAAATAACAAAGTAATCTATATAGTATAAGAGCTTTGTGCTTGTTAGTGTCGTGTAACATTCGTAATCGGATGACGTAAGACGATCAACAAACGTTTAATTATCGATCTGCTAACATCTTAGTGAGTGAGTGAGTGAGTGAGTGAGTGAGTGAGTGAGTGAGTGAGTGAGCGAGTGACACATTTGCATATTCAGACCCCTCACAATATATCGTTTCTACGCTTCGCGTATCCACGAGTTAAAAAAGACACGTTTGTAATTAATGCAGTTGTTTCGCAATTATTTTAGGCTGCGCAAGCATGCCCATGTATACGTACGTTACAAGTAGTCATCAACAGTGACTGAGTTACTTAATTAAATCAATGCATCTTATATTCCAGGAAAATACTGTATATACGGCAAACCTTATGCCGGTAAGCAATCTTATGGATCAGCGATTCTAATGTACGGCTATGGCCATAGCAATCTTTCCAGTGTTTGGCCATTTGCTAACCAGTGGAATCAAGGCTCCTATTACGACTTGTGGGTTGTCAAATTGCGTTTTGACTGTCAAACAAGTGGCGACAAAAAGATTCCAATCTCGTTACCGATAACCAAACCATTTTATCTGCTGCCTTATGGGTCACGTGACTGTCAACAAGTCAAATGGATGGTAGC